TAGCCGGCCGAACAGATGCCGTTTTTTAACACAAAACGCAACAGAACTGGACGTCTTTGGGGTTCCGGGTTTTCAAAGTGAGACGCCCACGAGCAGAGTAAATCATTTTCACGGATTGACAGCGTGGTGATCGATAATTTTTTTAAGCCCATCGCGCTGCCCAGAGACCTTAAGCTGTCACTGGGACGCCACATGTCCACTTGCAGGGTAAATGCGATCGCTAAGGAGCCTTCCACGTTGCCCTTGAAATCTTATCAGTTGCTCGGAGGGCCCCGGGCTGTTGTTGGGGCTCTTTCTGCTGGCAGTCCGGGGCACTCTTGTTGATCAGGAGCCTTCCGCGGATTCTTCCCATTCGCTCGAAAGGCCCCGTACACTATACCCGGGGCCCCATATGTTGAGCTGCTGGGGTTTTCTAGGCTGCTCAGGGGCCCTTCCCATTGGTTTCGGTTGGCCTACCGACTCACCCACGATATGCTCATGGCCCTCCTACATTGGTCTACGGTCCTTCCAATTCCCTGCCACTTGCGGAGGACTCTACGCTCTTGTCGGGGGCTCTCATGTGTTAACGTGTTCAGATACGCCCAATCTTTCGGGGGCCATCCACTTTGGATCTCGAGCACTTCTGATTTCAGTGGAGGGACCTGCACTCTTGTCAGAGGCCCATCTGTTCCACTCGGGCACGCCTGATCGTTCGAGGGCCCATCACACTCTGTCTTGGATGCTTCCTATTGGAATGGGGAGCCTTACGCTCTTGACGGGGACCCTCATCTGTTAACTTGTTCGGGCACGCTCGATTGTTCGGGGGCCCTGGACATTGGGTCTTTGGTTTTTTTCTAATTGAAGGAAGGGCCCCACCATAGTAGGATTCTTTTATCTGACAACATGCCTCGAAATCATGCCCTCTGCGTTGATCTAGGGCTCTTTCCTTTTGAGCTCATTCGCGGAGCATCACCACTTTCGTCAGACCCCTCTATGTCAACCTGTCCTGGTACTCTTAACCAAACAGGTGCATTTATTCACGTACACGGATGTTGGGCTATACCCATTGCTCGGATGGTCATATGCTCCCGCCGGGCCCTACATGTTAGCCTGCTGGGGTACCTCCGACCGTTCAGGGTCTCCACTATACTGGTCTTAGGTTTTTCTCGCTGGCCCTGAGGGCCCTATGCTGTTGACGGTAGCCTTTTGTTCGACTGCCGTGCCACACCCCCGATCGCTCAGAGGTCGTTCCTATCGGTATTGGCCTTTTCCCCATTTTATAGGACGGCCTACGACATCGATGGGGACCTAAATCTTATTAATAATGATTGGCTCTCACGTCTCACCGACTGCCAGGGACGTTTCAAGACAGGCTCCTGTGCGACATATCATGTGGGGCACTATGGTGGCGTGGCTGGGGCTGGAACCCAAGACCGCCAGCTCCAGAGTCGAGCGCCCCAACCATTATATCATTACCGCTCCCGACGTAAATCTTAATCCGCCGCGGCACTCTTGATCGCGCCGGGTCCCTCCGTACTGGTCGTGGGCTCTTCCGATGAAGTCAGAAGGATCTTATTCTGTTGCCGAAAGCCCCAGGTGCGTTTGCGAGCGCCAGGGCGTTTCGTGTGCTCGTGTGTACAGGCCTGACTAATTTAGTTTACGTACACAAATCCGTGATCACAGGTTGACGATTTCCCTTGGCACCATGGTCTTAGAACAGCAGTCGAATATGCAACGACGAATTTTTACGTGTAATTGTCGGACATCATTTACGCGACGCCACCGTGGTGCACGCCATTTCCGTTGGTCATTGAATTTGTGATACTTATTATGCTAATGTGCCGTGTCTTTAGGGCGTTTTGAATGCTAGGCTAATTGCATCCTTCATATCATTCAAAGCAAAAACATTGCTTCAGTCATCAGCCATCAGCTGATCATGTCGACTAGCCGGCTAGCCGTGAAGGAGGTAGAAACTTAGGTCGTGCTTAAGTTTGATGGTATTTAATAGCCATTTGAACAGCCATTTCAACAGTCATAACGGCCACATTGGATTTAACAGCCAAATGGCCGTTAAATCCATGTCGCAATTTGCTCCGAAATACGTTAGGGTAGGGTGGTTAAGCAATGTTTGATTGAAACTCCAAGAGCAACTCCTATGTCTCTTCCATCCTTTAGAACTAAGGTACTGGGCATGCATGATGCTTTTGATTTTGCACATTAGGGATTTAGGGTTTTGGACTATGAGAATTTTGATTCTGTGGTCGATTGATGTAACATTTCTTTGTTCTTCGAGCCTTATAATGAAGTGGTGTTGTGGTTATTCTATTTTTTGATTATGGAGATTTAAATGCACTCTTACGCTTCAATAGCCAAGCTAGCGATAAGAGCCACTCCGTTTGGATATACACATAATAAATTATTGGTTCAGTAATAAGGACGTTCCTCAGTGACTATTTTTTTTATTATATTATTATTATATTTCGCAATAAACTAGCAGAGCAAGACGGACGCAGCTCTCAAAACATGGTCTGCTTCTTCTCCCACATAGTTTACACAATTTCTGCCGCATCACAAACATTGAGAAAACTGGCTTCTTAAGCCAGTCAATCGTAGTCGCGTTCCTACAACCATCTGAGATTGAACTTAAATAATTGCGTGCCTTAAACTCAATAAATATGTCTGCATCCTTCAATATTTGTAAGCATGCAAACACCAGAAATGTCATAAATGCGTTGCTTGAGGGAGGTCAGGCAAACGTTAAGACAGATAAAACCCGTCAGAGGCTTAGTTGACTTCACACATGAAACTACACATTACACAAGCGAAGTGCGTTTGGATCTGACAGCTGTTTGTGGAAGGACAAAATAACGCAGTGGGACGAATGGGCATTAAAGAGCAAAACAAAGTGATTCACTTCATTTCATGAGTTCACTTCCACTATTTCATTTGTGAATGATCCATAATGTCCTGACAACGAAAATCATTCCCGTTGCCTCAAACGAACAGAATAAGACCTGTCGTTTGGCGCCGCCCACAACTTTTGGTGATTTTATTGTGTGTGCTTAAGGGCTCAACATACCTTAATTTTGATATTTTGAGTATTTTTAAGTGACTGGTGGCGTCACAAATATCGTGACTAACGCGAATTAGCCTTTGTTTGTAGGGTAGAATAACCTAGGCTATGGATTATCGTTTGAGTTTGCTGATGCCGCCAAGAGTACACGCTCATTGAGAGAATGCTAGCCATTTTACAACATGGTCGCGAATGCAGAAATGCACAGGTGTTTTTAAACGCAGATGCTAGTAAGTTGGCGATTGTGAGGAAAAGAGAAACAAGTGTGCCGATATCAACCTGCTTTTATATCAGGAAGAATGTCAGGAAGAATATGGGAACAATGTATTGACTGCTCTTAAGATACGTTGAGCACGGGTAGGACAAACTTTGAAATCTTATCAGCTGTTAAATCGGTACATTGATGACGACTGAGAAATGAAAGCAGTACATCATTTATACGCAACACTTAACTAAAATAACACTTACGCTGCCATTGAGTAGATGTTATTCATTTAGCCAGACTACGAGTATGTATAGAGTACCACACTTTTGGTGCTGTTTAAGGGCACGTGAATGAATTTGGCCGATCGGAATACGATGCTTGGTTACGTTCATAAAAGGCTGCAGCGTATCCTTTCTAGTGACGTGTTTGCGTTTGCTGGCTGGTTTCTCTTTCCATTTCCGCTGGGTCCTCTTTTCGTGTCCGCTGGATTCTCTTTTCCGTTGTCCGTAAAACACTTTCTTCAACGCAGGGTGTGCTAAGTACTCCAACGCAGTGTTACCAACGTTCCAATCACTCAGCTCGAAGCCAAATCCGTGGAGACAGTTTTCAATAAAACTGCAACTAAAAACACAGTGGACGTGGCGAAAAGGGGAGTCGTGCACCATAAAGGTCCTAGCCTCCTATTCGCTGATATTGAAGCCAATACTCCACAGACGATGGGCAACGGAAAAAGCAAGTACATTGCAAAAAAATGTTTTTGTACAAGTCATGAGCAATCAATTATTTAGTGAGCCGGCAGCAGTACATCACCATATCTAATAATGGACGCCAAGAGTGGCCATTGTACTGCATAACGTAGCTCTGCCAATTCTGTTATCGAATTGGGACTCTTTTAGGATTTTGGCGAAACATTTGCCTGAGCAGACCGGAAATTCGGTACATTTACTCTGGAGCATAATAGCGGTTGTCGCCTCGTGCCCGGCTACGTCATTCGCGTCCGACCTGAGTAATGGCCAAGACTGTGCATATTTAGCTTAATAATTGCATCATCTCTTCTTTTGAAGATAGGACTGGACGCTTACTTTAAATCTATCTATATATTGAAGCAAACCGAATGAGAATGAAATACAAAACGTGTCCGTCGTTTTTCTTTGTCGTCATATTTCTATACTACAAACGGGCGAGGTGGCATTCAAGACAGAATCAATGGGTGGAGAGCACGCACCAAAGGAATCTCATCAAATCAGCACCGTGTATTTAAATCACCTCGTAAAGCCCATACCTTTATTCCAGGAAAATCGCGATGAAGGGCCAAGTTCTATGCCACTTCCACGAAAGCCGGCCTTTACGCATTCTCTATCGGCCGTCCTCTAGAAATCTTTGCGAGACACGTAATATCACGGAAGGGCCTTGTGTCACGAGTCACGGAGCTGGAAGCCGGAATCGTGACGAACCCCAGATTCCGCATACAGTTGCGCGGAGGCCGAAGGCAATGCAGCATCATGTGATTCCGGTCGAGGAAATAACGCTGGCCGCGCCGCGAACGTCACGTGCTGAGGGTGGAGTGTGTAGCTTATGCTGACGGGCGGCGCTTCAAGAACACCGCGAGCCTGAACGCTTTGGTCACGATCTTGCATACGCCAATTCGGTTTTCTTTAGCAGTGATTACGGATATATAGAAAACAGCTTTCTAAATTTCCGCTTCATATTTTCCTTTTGTCCAAATGTACGTTAAGCTCTGGCATGACGCTACTACGGTGAGCTGACCACGTGACCCACATCCACGACGTGCTTGAATTGAACCAGCCATCGGTCCGTCTCGGTGGCTGCCGAGTACGGACTTCAAGGTAAGGGTAGACCCAAGGGTGCCTGTGTGGAATGGGTGACGGGCTGAGTTACTTTGGCTAGGTGCAAATGTGCGGAAAATTACGGATTAAGTTGCGGGCATGGGGCAGACGCTGACGAAATGTCAGGTAGATGCCTCAAACAAAACTGCATAATGTTACTGCTTGCAATTCTAGTAATCACGATCAGCATTACTGTCGTGATTGTCGACGAAAAAAGATCGAAAAGAGTGAAATGAGCTCTGTTTTCCAGACGCATTTCCATCATTCTAGACTAAAGTGCTGGATAAATGCAAACGGGTGGATAATGGACAGCAGGTTAGATAACGCTCCTGGGGGGGGTAAAGGAAATGTTACTTGTGAAGACCTCTCGTGACGAGTCTAGACCGCTCTCCTCCGGCGTCCCGTCTCGGTGGCTGCCGGGGCACCAGGTCTCTACTGTTCTCCTCCGGCGGCCCGTCTCGGCGGCCCGTCTCGGCGGCAGCCGGAGGGAGGGATACCGGGTCTTCATCGCCCTCCTTCGGCGGCCCGCCTCGGTGGCTCCCGGAGGGAGGGATACCGAGTCTTCATCGCCCTCCTCAGGCGCTCCGTCTCGCTGGCTGCCGGGGCACCAGGTCTCTTCTGTTCTTCTCCTGCGGCCCGTCTCGGCGGCAGCCGGAGGGAGGGATACCGAGTCTTCATCGCGCCCCTCCGGCGGCCCGTCTCGGAGGCTGCGAGAGCGCGAGGCGGGTGGGCCGGGTCTCAAACGTCCTCCTCCAGCTGGCCGTCCCGGCGGCGGCCGGCGGCGCCAGCTCGGCAGCGCGACAGATTCCCGCCGCCGGATTGTGTTTGAGTCGACCGAGTTATTGCTGCCGTGGCGATCCAATAGCGACCCAGGCTCAAACACACTGCGTAATAAGCTCCGCTCACCGCAGCTTCGTCTCAACCACCGGCGCGGGCGCCATATCTGTCTCCTCGGACGGTCTCGTTCCTGACGCTCGCCTCCACCGATGCTGCCGCCCACCAGCCGACTCTGCGTTCAGTGAACTTCCTTGATCGACCGGTACACTTTTTATGGCGTAAAATACATGCATCGCTGTCACGCTAAGTAACAGCTATCGTGCAGCGTGCTTAAAAATATGTTATTGCACACAAAGAGCGATGACCATGGGGTTGCCTTTTCGTTGCCTGCCCAAATGTCGGCTGTTTCGACCTTTACAGAAAGGTTGCATGGGATTGCACGGCCGCGCAGTGCAAGCATGTAACGAGGTGCCTCTGTCATCACTGAGCGCCTTAACGTGGCTGCAAGCTCTCATGCAGAGCAATACATCTGATGCAGGGCTTAACTGTTTTTTTCGAGAACCTTTTAGCTTCAGAGTGGCTAAAACCAAAGGCCGGACACATTTCCGCGATGCCAGATCGGCTGATGACACCACACTTCCAATAGCGGCTCGCATGAGGAAGCAAAAAGGAAGCGAGATCACTGGTGTCCACCTGTAAACATGGAGGTAATTTATGGCCCGTAATGATATGAACACAAACATGCAAATGTCGCACAAGCCCATGCAACATTTCATCGGCACTCGTTTATCCATCCTGAGCTTCCGAAATGTTGCACGTGAAACGCTTCATGACTTTCCTCGGGTTCTCAGGCTGTGATAGATGTTAGTGCCGTCATGGCAAACGACTATTAAGGTTGCCTGTTTTGACCCAGCGGGGCGGCGAGCTGCCGGCTTAAAAAGCCCGAGAGCTTTACGGGCATTGCTGACCATATTCCGGGTATTGGGGGTAGGGCATACATAAATTGTCCCAATGGTGTTTTCTTAGCCAAAAATTGATGTCTTACTAAGAAGTAATTGTTAGTACTAGATACCGATGAAAAAGAAGTTGATTTCTCGCACAAAAATAAGAATAAAATAACAAAGTTGGATTTCATTAAGAAGTTTTACACCTATATAATGGATTCCAACAGCAATAATAATAAAGTAAAGAAGTTAGATTTCATTCAGAAGTTTTCCATCTATATAATGCATTCCAACAGCAATAATGAGAAAAGAGGGAAGTTGCATAAATAATGCATACATAATACAATGCAATTTTTCCACCTATACAATGCATTCCACCATACAATGCATTAATTCCACCTATACAATGCATTCAATTTCATGAACAGACAATCCACGTCATGCTGTAACTTCAAGAGTAGGCTACCATGGCTTAATGATTGTCAGACCCACAGTAAGGTGCAAGAACTTACTAAATATTCTAGATGGATGGAATCTCAACAGGAGACCAGAGACCAGAAATCACCGCACATTAGTGGCATATTTTGCAATAGGTGAAACCTTCTTTTCAGTGAGTGGGCTCCAGTTCCAGCCACCAGCAACCTAATTTTTGTTCATTTATCCCTGCCGAGCCCACCCTCAGCATATCAAGAGTTTGCAAAACTACGCTCCTGGGTTTTGCACACCATTTGTCAACTAAGTCACAGGTCACAAAGAGCACAGGTTACATGCAAACGCTCAATGGCTTGCAAACACATATGATGGATGCAGATGTGTAATACATGTTCATACAGTACATGTACCACACATCTCCATCGTACAGTACATGTTCATACAGCTAACATCACGCAATACCCAGATTGAACTGAAAGCATGGTCCTGCATTGAAGCTCTAATACATGTCTGTGAAATCCATAACAGCGAACCAATCAAGTTTTCTGCAGCTCAGACCTCATCTGCAAATTGTATAAACCTACATAGATTGAAATAGGTATATATTTTCACAGACTTAAATACTTATACAGCTTTCCGCTCTATGCATACATCGGCTTGGTAAAAGCATCAAGGGACGAAATGTTCGCCAAGGACGCGAAAGGACGCTCGTCAGCCGTTCCAGGAGCTCGGATGCGCAAGATGGCTTTTACGTGGCGTACCGACGAACTCGTAGTTGCTAGTCCCGTTTGAATGGATCATCAGCCATCCAGCGGCAAGATATGACATTGGGATCATTTATGGTGTACTTATCTTTAAATCTTTCGCCAGATATTATGTTTATTTTCTGTTACCTGTCATGTGAAGTGACGATGCCGAGGCTAGTCGGCACAAGACATAGTAAGCCAGCATACGCAAACCCGAACTGAGGGCATTTGAAACCTAAATCTAGCGTTAAAAGAACAGCGTTATAGTTGAACCCTGAGCTTCGTTGCTTGACGCAGGTAAGCAAAGTCGGTCATCATGTAGGTACCTGCAGCTGTCCATGGAAAATGGTGTTATTGGGTCGCCTGATGGCCACGAACAGTGCTCCTGATTTTGGTACTCTTTCATGTGTTGATTTTGCATTAAAATATTGGGTGCAGTCAACTAATGTCTTGCCTTTCAAGGTAAAGGTTGTTGGCTTCTTTTGATAAGACTTCTGAAAGACCAAGAGGATTTTGTCTGGGGCAAAGACGATTTATGTCTTTGACCAAAAGGATTGCATGTGTTCGTTATCCAGCAGTGTTCAAAATAAGTTACACCTCTAGATCTTAAAAGTGCTAGGATTTAACAGTTTTATTCTAAGTTAGATTGTAACAAACATATGCAGGAATAAATGCCTGTAGCTTGATTTGTATGAGGCCTCTTGATGTGAGGCATGACAAAAGCACAACGAGGGATTAACGTTCTTTAATTTGTCTTACAACTTTTTTGGCACTAATACTATAAGGTTGGTATGCATACCTGGAATTAAAGATAGGTTGGCTAGCCCACGCGAGCTTCTTTGGGGGACACCTGCCTTGCGGGGTGAGTGCAGGCTTTCAAATTTGGGTGCACCGCGGGTACGGATATTCCGAAGCTAAAAGGTGGCAAATTTAATTGCTATTTTTTACTAACAACCAAGAGAGTTCTGAAATACTGCACTTACATAATGATTTTTTGAATTGCAGCGTTTGCATTATGCATTTATGAACTACTGCATTTATGCATTTTGTATGAGAGGGCATTGTTTCCGGAAGTGGACTGGCGTCTTTTCAGCTCGCCACCTACTGGCGTCTTTTCAGCTCGCCACCTACTGGCGTCTTTTCAGCTCACCACCTACGACTGCTTAAAAGCAGCCGCCCTGCGGGTTTAGAGTATAACTTGCACATGGTCCCATTTGGGCCCACTAAAACCTTTGTTATCACACGAGCGATTAATTCGAAACATTCTAGAGGGACCTTTTTGTTAAGTCAAATTGATGAGCAATGACGTCATCGCTGGGTGTTTGCGCGATGCTTCGTTCTTTTTTTGTCTATATATTCGCGAAATCACGGTGACCATTTTTAGAAACGTTTTGAAATATTTGCAGACTGGTTTGATCGCTTGCCAGTCGGGCGGTCAAATTTTAGGAGTTCTCACCAGGTCACCATCAAAGGTCACATGGGATCATTTGTAAGCAGCGAACCAACACGACTGTTATATTGCTATATCCATGCATTACATTATAGCGGGTGTGTACAAGTCACTTATTTCAAAGCAAAACGTTTTCTGTATTGTCCGCTTGCATCCAAATTATTTTGAATTTTTCCGATGCGGCAATTACATCCTGAGATACAAGGGGGAGGGTGCTGTCTTTAACTCCTCGACCTCAAGTAGCCGGGGGTAACGTAATACCCCCGGCGGCGTCACACTAAGACTGCCCTCATATAACATCTACCGCTATTGAATAACCTTCCAGGCTTTATTTTAACTTTGCTCGGCGACTGGCCCCGGTGGGACCACCTCAGCTCTGTTGCTCTTTGACGCCACTTGACCGCGGCCAGCCCGCCCTGGGGCTGCCTACCGCTCGTTGGCGCTGCGTGCTCGACCTGCGGCGTCACCATTTGACGGAGCGTGCGCCGCCGTGACAGCGCTCTCCGGCCCCAGTGACGGACGGTCAGCGTCGCTCGTTACCGGCGGTCGTGGGGACGACTA